TCTCAGCCATCTTCACCTGTTCATTTTGTCATTCCGACATCTGTTTTGCAATAAACCTTGTAAGCAAGCACAACACCATTTCTGGTTTGATAATCAGGTTCCTGTTGTATGAGCTTAACGGTTATGAGATAATTACAAAATTATGTGATTTTGTGCTATTATTTATGTGCAATAACAGGAAATGAGGAAACGGGCCTTGGAGAACATTGAGGAAAGGCGTAGAATGGTGAGTTATGTCCAAGGGCTTTTTTATTTGTTTGCATGCACGCTGTAAATTTAAATATTAATGTACATTCAAGGCCATCAGGGAACGCTGTCTTCGACTGGCTGATCGAGAGGAACCCAACGATGGAATTTCCTTGAAGTTCAAGTTCCCTGATGGTTCAGTAAAGATGGGCAAATTTAATGAATCTGAGCCAATTCAGGTAATGTCTCACATTAAACTTTAACATGTAAAAATCATTAAATAAAAGGCAACAAATACAAAAAAGAAAAAATCTCCATCCTAGGTTCTCTTTGACTTTATTGGTCAAGCTGAGGAAGCCAGTGAAATTTTTAAGGTGCAGGAAGCCACTAGTTGCACAGCCATTGCGAGTACCTCAAGTGGGATAATTTCAGAGCAAGGAATCAGGACTAATTCCACATTCTATGTACTTTGGATGTCAAGCATGGATGTTGAAGTAAGACTAATTTTAACTTTTGTAAAACTGGTGAATTTTAACATTTCAACGCTCGTAGCATTACTCAGTTTTCATATTTGTGCTCTTTTTCCTAACTGTTAGGAATGGATTTCCAGTCATATGGAAAATGAACAACCACAGACCACAGGGGCTGCCTCTGAGCTGCTCTTGAATCCACATGGTCTTCTGCCTTCCAGTCCAATACCAGACTTGTCCCAGATACCAATTCTGATAGATGATGATGATGATGAGAGTGAAGTCCCTGTCTCTCCTGGCCTTCAGACTCCTAAGAATGCTCCCCACCTAGACTCTGCCAATGAGTATGTG